GTATAATGCTTTAAGAGCAGGTGAATAGGTGGCAATGTAATTTTTTTAGGTTATGTTGATAACAAAATGTGTACATTTAAAATTATACATGCTTGCAAACAAATGAACGACATCTCTATGACTAAATACTCTAACTAGCTCAACGCAGATACGAATTCAGTAATAAAATGTGGTAGATTGCTGGCAAGAGCGTTGCACCCCAGAAACACAAACCTATATGCATCATAGAGATCAAGAGAATGGACCACTCCATTCCCCCTCCATTCCATTATATGAAAGACCTTGATGCACAGATTGCTACTTACATTGCAGATACCCCTTTGCCTACTTTAGATAACACCAGCTCAACATTAGAGGCTTCCTTCACAGAAGAAGAAGAACTCTCCATATCCATAGGGTCCACCCCTGTAATTGAAAGCCGCTGTACCCAACAGAGTTACAAAAGTTTTGGAAGACATTTAGTACACTCCTAGTCACCTTTCTCACAAAAGGTATTTAATTCCCTCTCAGAGTTCTCCCTTTCCACCCACCCACAGGCCTTGGAAGCAGACATAACCTTGATTCCCAAGCCAGATAAGGATCACACGCTGTGCTCCACCTATTGTCCCATCTCCCTCATAGTCGTAGACATAAAACTATTACAAAACTATTATCCATCCTGACCAAGTGGGGCTTGTACATGGATGTGAAGCAAGGGATAACACTCTTGAAAAAGGAGAACTATGGGGTTAAGGCTTTTCCCCATAGTTCTTCTTAAGGTAACGGGATGACCCAAACTAGCGTCCTCCCGTCACCCTAGGCTCAGTATACCGCAAACTGTGGCTCACGGTATACTGAGACGCCGCAGTATACCGCGAGCTGCTGCACGGTATACTGAGAAGCCACAGCTGAAGCGGATCCCGACAATTGTGCCGGGATCCGCCCAGCTGCGTGACTGACAGCTGGCTCTGCCTATCTAAAAGGCAGAGCCAGCTGTACCCGCCCCGTTCCTCCCCCGTTCCACCAGTCAGCGCTGGCGGATCGGAGCGGGGAGGGGGGAATCCAGCCCCTCCCCTATCACGGCATTGAGCCGTGACAGGATCTAGTAGTGAGCGAACGCCGGTATGTGTTCGCTCACCTCCCGATCTACTGAGCCAACCTGTGACAGTCTCATTGTCACAGGTCGGCTAGAACTATGAGGTGAGTGAAAAGCACTCAACTCATAGTTCTCTTTTAAAACTCTCCTTTTAATGCAAAATGCCCAAGCATCCCCTATGTGCCTTTTGTCACTCAATGCAGAAAAGGCTTTTAATATGGTTAGTTATCCATTTTCAAAACATAGTCTGACCCAGTTAGGCCTGGGCCCTCTTATGCTTGCCAGCATCATGGCCCTTTACACGTCCCCAACAGCTAGAGTGTGTTAGTTTCTTGTCACCAAGATTTATCATTATGAATGCCATTAGACAGGGTTGCCCCGTATCCCTCACCCTATATATTTTAATTATAGAACACGTAGCTTTAAGCTGTAATCCTAATATTTCTGGTCTTTCTGTTGACTCCACTCATGCTAAACTAACCCCCTCCCACCGAGTGTGCAGCACCACTATCAACAAATGACAGACACGTGATCAGCTATTTGGGGCTCTGTAAAGCTGGTAACTGCTGCGAATCAGCGGTTACCCTTCATTAATGGATGACTACGTATAGAGGCATCCATAAATGAAAGAGTTACATTTTTTCAGACACCCAATCCTTTTCAGGAATCGGGTGCCTGACAGTGAGAGCAGAGCGGTATTTACAGCTCTTGCCGTCACTGACAGCTGGTATAGATCGGGAAATCCCGATGTATACCGGCTTTTTTCCCCTAAAGTTTCAGCAACAGAAACATTTAGCTAAATGTTTCTATTGCTGAAACAATGTTGCAGGCTTTTCTGATCATTGTGGGAACGACCAGTAGCCTTTAGTGACATCTAATCCTGAAATGCTACAGGATCAGTGTCACTAAGGTTATTATTGGCTGTTCTTAAGTTTGAAGCAGCCCAATAATAACCAAAAATATTAAATTATCAAGCAGTAATAGTGAGATTCGTTCACAATGACTGCTCGGTATAAATATTAAAAAAAAATTGTTTACAAAAAAAAAAATTTACAAATAAAAAATGATATTTAAATATATTTTTATACTATCATTAATATAAAAATGAACCCATTACAATGAAAATCTGCAGTTGAGCTGCAGGATTTGTTTTTCAATCTAAAGGGGTTAATTTGTTTTTATTTAACCCTCTCATGACGCTGGTGTTCAAAGTATGTCACTGTCACGAACTGACACTTAGTGACATTGTATAATAGGTGACCACTTTTAGCTTTTAGAGAAAAAAAAAAAAAGATTAAAATGTTAGGTTTTAGTTTTAGGCTGAGAAGTACAGAAACATTTCTAAAATCCAAGGAAAGTGAGGGTTTCTCCCAAATAAATGAATGTATTTATTGCACTTTTTTTTTAGCTGGGCTATTTTTCTAAAATATACTACAAATTAAAACTGGGGAAAAAGTTTTTTCTTTACATTTTTTACTCAATTTTAATATTGTATTTGTCCTAAGTGAGGCATTAGGTACACATATATGATATAAATACATAGCCCTATCTGTCCTCTAAAAAAACAACATATAATATGTGTGGGTGCACTGAGTAAGAAAGCATATTACTGACATGGAAGAAATCACACAGCAAAAATTTCAAAAGTGTGTCGGTCATTAACAAACAGAAACTAAAAACAAGCTCAGTCATGAAGGGGTTAAATGTTTTACTGCTTTTGTTGACCCGCATCATTACACAAACACAAGCAGGATTTTATAGTTAGTTTGTTTGTCAGTTCTGGCTTTAAAGAATTATGCATGCTGGCCTACAATAAAAGGAGGAACCAAGCCAGGGTTGTTGTACAATCTTGCAATATATTGTACACGTAGTACAATGTTCACTAAAGGCTCATGAAGACCACCACTACAGGAATGTGCGTTGGTAATGCCTAAAACAAAAAGGTTGGAGTGTTTCTTCTTGCATATAATTGGCCCTAATCCAGGTATTCTGCCTTGGGGATAGGGGTGGAAGGGGAGTTAGTAGGTGTACACTGCCTTTCTATACCCATTGGGCATTATTCCTATAAAATATGTGGTTGGGCACAGAAAGGGTGGGCAGGGGTTTCAATGTTTAGAAATAAAAGCCAGTGCCCATATATCTTGCTTCTAAAAATACTGTAAAGTAACCACAGTACAAGAAATATAAAAAAAACATTCAAAATTAAAGTTATGAGGCATGCTAAGCATCATGCACATAATGTATGCGTAAAGAAAACCTCTGTGCAAGGATCGCAAAACAGGACCGTAAATGTGACCATACGCACAAGCGCGGTTGCACATTTTTCATTCCCAGAAGTACCAGCTACAAGCATACTGCTTTTGCATATCTGAATCATATATCTTCCAAGCTCTTTTAGCATTTACCTTTGGTGCTTTTTACTCTTATTCTTTTTTCTCTGTAACTTATGACCTACATACTCAATGACAGTTCCACACTTAATTCTCATCTTTCCTAGTCCCTCATATCCAGACACAGATGCAGCAGGTCAGGCGTCAGAGGAGGAGGATAGTGGTGATGCGATCCTCCTCTTCCACTGAGGACTAACAGCAATCACAACATGCTCTTATCTCCTTCTCAGAGGAAGAGGGAAGGGAAGAAGGGGCTTCTGCTGGCCAAGCAGCTGCCATCCCCAAGGAGAAAGAAGAGACAGAGGAGCAAGCTCCCCACTCTAAAGGACCAAGGTAAATTAGAATTCAATCTGGTTGCCTACATGTTGACAGTTTGGATTTGGGAGCGTATCTTTTGGCCCCATTTTTTGATCACTGGGATACACGATGGGAAAGGGTGCTGATATTTTGATGTAAAAGGGTTCAGTTTCCTGTCCCATTTTCACGCTTCCCCCGACTTTGTAACAGAATGCTTAGATGCCCATCAGATTTTTGGGAGTATTGGCTAGGTATGACAACCTTTTTTCTGCACATCTGGCTTGGTTAAATGTGTCCATATATACAGAATGTGATGGAAAATATTGATTGTACAGTACAGTGCAAAAGTTTTCGGCAGGTGTGAAAAAAATTCTGTAAAGTAAGAATGCTTCCAGAAATAAAAGTGTTAATTGTTTATTTTATCAATGAACAGGTGACCACGCTGACCAATGAGAAGCGTAATTTAGCACAGTCCAATACAGTTTTAGGGATGCACAGATACAGAGTATTTGGGCGAGTACAGGTACTCGCCAAAATGCTCCGATACCTTCCCCAATATCAGAACTTCAAGTCAGCGGAACATTTCCTCTGACCAGCAGTGCCGTCGAGGAACATGGAGCCAGCTTCTCGTGCAATCAGAAAGCTGGGCAGCAACTAATGACCCAGTTTCCTGATTGGCCGGAAAGCCAGCTCCTTGCTTATTAGCTGGGAAGCCAGCTTCCCGGCCAATCAGGTTGTTACTCGCCGCTTCCCAGCCATTCACAAATCGAGCCAGCCAAACATGGAGTCGGCTTCCCTGGCAATCAAGAAGCCAGGTAGCATCCGATTACCCGCTGCCCGGCTTCCTGATTGCCCAGAAAGCCTGCTCCATGCCAACGGAAACACTGATACTCAGTGAGTACCGAAAGTAAAATATCAGTACTCGTGATCGATACCCAAAAACCACTATGCATCCCCAGTTTTAATTAAAACTATTTTTTGTATTGGGACAAGTAGATTGTCATGAGGGACAAGTAGATTCAGCCCCCGCTTTAGCCCTTGGACAAGTAGTTATTTTTAAATTTCCACACCCCTGATTTTGTATAATAAAAAGGCTGCAATGGCCATTCAACTCCATCAAAAAGCTTGGTCTGGTTTATTGGGTTGAGGGGAGGTTGGTGGTTCCAGCAGTCTTGGTGTCAAGGGAATTGGGACATCGGTTCTACATTAGTCATGTCATTGCTCTTCTTTTTATAGTTGTGTGTATCTTCCTCCTAGTATCCCTTGAGGGCAAGCAGTTGCCGACTCCCGAGGAGGCCCAATCCCCTCCTGAGTTTGTGGGCAGACATCCTGTGGGTGAGTGCATTTTCATTGTCATCTTTCGATAGGTTTGGGATTTTGAAGATTGAAGATGTGTTTGATTACTTTGAGTCAAAGCCCCCACCAATGTTTCATCACTTAGATTTCCTTTGGCCTTTTCCCCCTAAAAGGCCCGACCGGACCCTTTGGTAAAATGCACAGCTATGTTAGTGAGTATTGTAACCTCACCCAAGCAAAAGTGGGAATAATGTTCAGTTATGGTTAGGAGGCATATTAGGAAGTGGCATAATATGCACACATTATGCATTTGATCTTTTTTGAAGACTATAAGCACTAATTGGCCTGTGTACCTCTTCAACTACTGCATTGAGAGCTCTGCAGTATTCCTTGCTCTGCTTTCACTTTTGCTGCTACATTTGGGATTACAGACACCTAGCTACACAAGACCATAAGAGAAATAAGAAGCTGCTGAGTAATTTACCTTGCCAGCATTCATTAATAAATAAAAAAAATTAAAAATGCAGAATAAAAGCAAACATTGTTTCAGCAATCTAGCTAAATAATATTTTTCATAAAAGACAAGTTTTCTGGCATTCAATGTAATGGAATTGTACATCTGCTTGTCACGGTTTGCTCTGCTTCTTGTAAAGCTGTGTACCTGACACTGTACAACCTACTCACTGCTATTACTGATTTGCAACTTGCATGTCTGTTTTTTCAAGTGTTATGCAACAGGTCTTTTGCTAGTTGACTTTCCCTAAGGCGCTGTCCCCTATGCCAGGTTTGTATTGTTTCGATATGGAGCATAAAAAGGGAGAAAATGGTCTAAGGCGGTCAGGTGCTTTTGCATATCATGCAAAATATGTGAGTACCTTGCAGCATGAATTTGGAAAGCATAACTGCTATATATACACAGTTAATAATGATTTTGTACATGCAGAAATGCTCCCTGTGACTTTATTATAATTACAAAGCATGGTGAAACATTCACGCAAACAGGTCAAATCCATCAAACTTTTTTTCAGAACGTCCTAAAGTATTTTAGAACCACCTACCAGAAGAGTATCGGAGCCACTGTATAAAACTATAAGAAGTGAGACAACAGTTTGTGTGACCCATGGAAACAAAATTTGATTTTACTTTTCTTAGTTTTACCCTGTACTATTTGAAGAGAACAAAAAAACTAGAATTAAATGGTTGCTGTGACAGAACCTTTGTGTATTTTAAGTGGGTCATCTCAACCTGGCACTCAGCACTGCGTATTTAGGCGTAAACAGATGTTAAACCAGGAAAGGATGACCACAGAGATTACAGTACTGTACTAAACTCCCCCCCTTCCTAAAGTTACAGAACATTCTAAGGTGGTGTGTAACAAAAGATGTGGAGTGCCAGCAAGCTTTATTTATTGATGGCTAGCCAACGGTTAACAAGCAAGTCAAAACACCTATTAATGTCAACTTGTCATGCTGTCAAGATATTGTAACCAACAACATCAATACAATAATATTTATGTAAAGCCAAATGGTTCTTTTCAGCTTACACAAATAGCACCAGGACAATATCACAATATTTTCACAATAAACTGAAAGTATTTTGAGCAGGTAACCAGCTGTACCTTGAAAAACATACTACATGTAGCTTTTGTTTTCAAAAATATTAATGCAGACTAACCCTACACATATGAATTGTAGCTGGAATCATTCTTATTGCTCTAGCCCCAATCTATAGCTTAAACCAGCCTGTCTCAAAACAGGGTTGCACCAAACACTAGGGTTCCTCCAGGAGGTGGCTAAGGGTTCTTTAAAAAAAAAAAAAAGAAGAGCATTTTTTCCCCCTCAGATACACATCCCTAGTAAGGAGCATTCTTCTCAATGGCCACAAATGTAAAAGGAGCATTCTTCCCAGTCACAACAAATGTAAGGAGCATGCTTCCCAAGGGCCAGCAACGCAAGGCGCATTCTTCCCAAGGGCCCCCAATGTAAGGAGCATTCTTCCCAAGGACCCCCAATGTAAGGAGCATTCTTCCCAAGGACCCCCAATGCAAGGAGCATTCTTCCCACTGATCACAAATGTAAGGAGCATTCTTCACACTGTCCATCATGATAAGGTACTGTGAGCTGTAGATTTGATCATTACTAAACAGGGTTTCCCTGAGAAAAGTTATTTTAAGGGTTCCCTCATGTTGAAAAGGTTGAGAAACGCTGACCTAAACTATCCTGAATGGCCCACTTTCATTTGAATTTTAATTACATAAACAGTAGAAATATTGAATTTGTTCAAGAAGTCAGTAGCCAATGTTGAGGTGCTATGTTTTAATCAGATGTTGAACTATAATCTACAGGAATGTTTACATGAGACATTCTCATCGTTACAGCATCAACCAGTAGTGCACCTCTGATATGTACAATAGGTACTTATTTACTTAACATGAATTCATCTTACCAATCAGGAGCTTTAGCAGACCACTTTTATATCAACTGTATATATCATTTAGTATTTCATCAATTTAAAGTGACACTAAACTCAGGAGTTTATTCTTAAAATGCATTCAAGCACCCTAACAAAAATGTATCTTATTTGTGAATCACTCAGCTGGAGATCTTCCAATCAGCTCTGAATTCATGCTTCCTTCTGGAGGGTGGCTACTTTTGTTTCCCATGGTCCGTGTGTGTTGTAATGCACCACCACTCCACGCTCGCTCCTGTGATGGACTACAATCTCAATACAAATTTGTAAAGTAAGCATGAGATTGTAGTCCATCATGGGAGCAAGTTTGGAGTGTTGGTGCATTACAACACACACAGGAACCATGGGGAACAAAAGTAACCACCCTCCAGAAGGAAGGACAGTGTCAGCACCAATTCAGAGATGGTTTGAGGATCTTCAGCCGAGTGATACACAAATAAGATACATTTCTGTTATTAGTTAAGGTATATGAATGCATTTTTAAGATTTAACTCCTAAGTTTAGCGTCACTTTAAGATGAACTGATTTGCAATTGGGGGTACTTTGCCAATATATATTAGTCCCACTGTGGACAATGTTCCCACAATTCAGGAACACAGCAAAAAAGGAATTCAAGCATGCAATATTATTATTTGAACGTGTTTGTAGTTTACACACCTAGCCAGTGAGGCGTCTATTTAGAAATCCTTGACGCCACACCATTCTTATGATAAAGTCCAAATAGAAGCTGCATTTCTCACAGTACTTGACCTTATCATCGCTGGGTGCTCGAAGTGATTGCTACGGAGGGCGCCATGCCAAAACCAGATGAGGAGATACAAGGCCACCAACACTCCACTCACAAAGTCATAAAAAACCCAACATTTTTGGAGCTCGCAGGGTTACATCACTATCCAGCCTTGAGTAAGGACCCCGAAACGTTGGCTTCTTATTACTTTTAACACCATCTTTGCAATAAACACATGAAAGGCATTTATTTGGCGTGCTGATGACTTTGTATGTTCTCTATAGAAAAGCCAACATGGACTAACCCACTTTACAGGTCATAAAGCCCAGTGTCATTGATCTAGCCTCCTTAGCAGAGCATAGGGCTGCAATTAGGTCTGCTATTCATTCAGAAAGCTGTGCTTCCACTCATGACTCACCGGGAATGTGTCTTTTGCTAGGATGTCATTAAAGGCCATCGGCTGTTCGCACTTGCCCTCATCGGTTGGGGACTGCACTTCGCTCCCCAAGCTCCTCCGCACCCGTGGATTCCATGAGCCTTCTTGACGCCATTCAGTCGAGCGAGCGTCCAGCTGGTCCCGAGGAGAGAAACACCAAGCTAACCTGACGGCGCACAGCAACAACAAACCCCCGAGGTCAGTCCTTCTCAGGCACCACATCTCTGCCGGAGCTCTCTCTACCACGGCCAGCACATTGACAGGTACGATATGGCCCGTCGCCTATTGGCAGCGGCAGCCTTCACTCTCGCTTTCTACGTATTCTATTGGCCGAGGAGAAGAGCAGACCCCTGACAAAGCCCGCCCCTACACTACATCATACATAAGCAGGTGGCAGCTGGGCGTTTATTCCTGATTGGCTGCCGCTGCGGTAGTGAGTTAGGATTGGGCGTTTAGGAAACAAGCTCTGCACAGTACTATATGGCACGGAATACAGTCCTAAGGTGATTATTATAGAGGGAGTGACACTGCAAGCTTGTAAATATATATTGTCTTCCTCATTTGTGTTGCAGCTGGGGTGCGAGAGCAGGTAGATGACAAACACATGAAGGTTACATAACGAAGAGCCTTTATTGTCTTTCACTCAGCTGTAAAATCATCCTGTGATAACGCAGGCAACGTTAGGGAAAGGATTACATTATGCACACGTTACTAAATGTACCCGGAGATGTGTGCTTCTAATACCTGGAAATAATGGGAAGGGAATTTATCAAAAGTGTTGCAGACACAATCTGGAGCAGCTGTCAGCCAATCAGAATGTATATCTAATTTTCATAGCGTAAGCAAACAAACTGAAGAGAGCAGCCGATTCATTACTATGGCCAACTGCTCCAGATTCCGTCTGTCCCAGTTTCGATACATTCCCCTCCTGATTTTTTTTTTCCCCTCCTGATTTTTGAGGTGGATGCAGCAATGAGCAAGTGAACGGAACTGAAAGTGACACTAAACGCGAGAGTTTATCTTAGAAATGCATTCAAGTACCCTAACGATTAACAAAAATGTATCTTATTGGTGCCTCAATCAAATGATCTCTGATGTGTTGTGAAGTAGCCACTGCTCCAAGCTCACTCCTGTGATTGACTACAATCTCATGTTTAGTTTGCTAATTTGTATTGAGATTGTAATCCATCACAGAAGCTGCTACTTTTGTTCCCCATGGTCCCTGTGTTTGTTGTAAAGTAGCCACTGGTCCAAGTTCCCTCCTGTGATGGACTCCAATCTCAACAGAAATTAGTAAACTAATTGTGAGATTTGAGTCCATCACAGGAGCGAGCTCGGAGCGTTGTCTACTTTACAACACACACAGGGACCAATGGTGAACAAATGTAGCCACCCTCCAGAAGGAAGCACAGTGTCACCACCAATTCAGAGATGATTTGAGGATCTACAGCTGAGTGATACAGATATAAGCTACATTTTCTATGAGGCTACATCATTAGTGCCTCACTCAACCAGGAAGTGGAAACACATTCTAAATAAAAGCAAAAAATGTTTTTTAAAGTGACACTAAACTCAGGGGTTAGATCCTAAAAATGCATTCAAGTATTTTAATAGTTAAAGTACTTGAATGCATTTTTTTGGATCTAACCCCTGAGTTTAGTGTCACTTTAAAGAACATTTTTTGCTTATTTACAATGTTTTTTCACTTCCTGATTGAGTGAGGCACTGGTGATGTAGCGACAATCGCATCTGTAAACTGTGAAATCTTGCAAGATCTTGGGCCGAAAGTCATTTTTATCTCCCCTCAGAGGATGCGCACTGTCGCATGTTCCAGTAGGTAGGTCCAGAGTTCCAGGAAGTAAACGGTGATGGATTCATCTGGCCTTAGTGAAAATGGCCACCAAGAGCAAAATGGGGAGGAAAAGAAAAATAAGGTATGCAAAGAATAAAAAGCCTGCAATTATTTATAAATGTGTTTGTAGATTGCCACCAGTAAATATTTCTAAAGGTGTCTTTGTTGTCATTTTTAGATAGGGGTAAGGTTTCTCTTTAAGAGATAAGATGAAGGTTTTAGTGCAGAATAACACTTTTGGTAGTTAAAAAGTACATCTTCATACATCTGACCAAAAAGAAGGACAGCTGAGGAGGAGAGAGTGGCAGAGGGATTTGGATCCAAATGAGGGACATTGAGGAGGTATGGCTGCCCGGTGCAGTCTCCGCTGTGTCTGAAGAGCAGTGCTTTCCCTCCATCGGGCGACAGAGCGGGAAGTAATTGCAAAGTCACTTATTGGTTAGCTGGCAGAAGTAAACAAAGCAATCACATGATTGATGTTTACTATTGCTGCAAGGTAAAGCTGGGAATAGGACAAATTTGTCCTCTGCAATGGAATTCAGGCATCATCTTAGGAGGACCAGTGTCTAACTGGACACAGAGCTCTCTTGAAGACAGAGGGGCAGTATATAGCCCCCCCCCCCCTATCACAAGGTGGCACCTGCAGTGTCGTAAGTTACAGGTAAGGACAGATACTTACTTGTGAGGGAGAGGTAGGCTTAGCACAATGGACAGTTTCCTGGCCAGAATGTTACAGTATAGACACTCTCATAAATGCCTTTTGAGTCATCCCACATTGGAGCAAAGGACACCCATGATCATTTTCAGCTATCTGGCCCAGCATCGCATCTGCTAGGACAGAACGCTTACAGGGAAGTCACCTTTTAAGGAGTCTTACAGTTATACGCTTAACAAAGCACACCTTGAGCAACCTCTGGAATGTCTTGTTGTATCTATAAAGGCTTTGTGGTATATAGTTGAACTTTGGAAGAGGAATACTGCCTTGTTATAACTACCAATTACTCTTTATGAAAATGCTTAAAGTAGAAGTTGTGTTACCTGTTCCCTTAAATCTCTTCCACACGGTACGTCCTGCCCACACATGTGCAGTGTACTCTCTACAGATGTAAGATGCCATCACTAGTCAAGGAAGAAGATGTTATGTCCTGAAGAAGCATCAGAGAATATGGCAGCACAGAGCTGCCATCACTGGAGAATGGCAAACTCAAAGTTTTCCATAATGTGCATGTATGCCATGCATAATTGCATTATTACATATGACAAACTTCCACCATTAGGGGACAGGAAGGGCTTACAGATGCCATATTAGGTTTGAACAGAGTGACTACAGAGCAGGCACAGAGTACTGGATAGCAGGAGGACAAGTCAAAGTCAGGCATGGGACAGTCAAGAGCATAGTCGGTGTCCAGGCACAGGGTTGAGGCAGATGGTGGGAAGACAGTGGTTGGCAGTCAGGCTGAAGTCAAAGGCAGGCGGCCGGCAAGAGAATGCTCGGTATCTGGACTGAGGTCAAGGAACTGCATATTGCTGCAATTTTTCACCTGTGCTAGTGGTATTTATCCCTGGGTTGCGTGGTGTGAGCTATCTCTTATTAATCATCATATCACTACAGTAAAGGGCTAAATAAATACTTGCCCCATGGTACTTTCTTTAAGATCAAAGCCCAGCCATATAAAAACCTCAGAGGCCCATCTGACAGACCCAGAACCAAAAAATGTGGATTTTGTAATGCCAAATTCTCAGAATCTTGGAACCAGCCATTTTGCCAATTATGTATTGATGTATTTATGGCTAAGGAATTAGCAAGATCTTTTAAGGGTTATTTCATTGAGGGGAATGAGATGATTCTAAATTGTGGGACACATGAAACCCACGGGAAAATATCTGGTAATTCTGAAATTTTAAAAATGACAAAATTAAAAAGCGACCTTGGGCTATCTGGAAAAGATAATTAAAGTAAAGAAAAATCTTATACCTGCACAGAGAGTCACAATTCTAGGCTATGAAATGGACTCCACAGTACAAGAGATATTTTTGCCAACAGAAAAGGTGAAAAAACCACAGGCAGGATTTCTTACTACTAACAGTATCGACTATTAGATCGGTAATGAGGTTACCTGTCCTTATGACCTCATCAATGCCAGCAGTGCAATGGGCTCAAAGACATTCAATTACAAAATTTTCACCTAGCAAGCTGGGACAGTTCTTAGAAGACATTGGGGAGTGGGGTACCCCATGGTTCAGTCCTGGGACCAATCCTGTTCAGCTTATTTATCAACGACATAGAAATTGGACTAAATAGCTCAGTTTCGTTTTTTGTGGATGGAACTAAACTCTGCAGAGCAGTACATTTCAAACAGGAGATATTCGCAGTACAACATGACCTAAGCAAAATTGAGGCATGGGCTACAAGATGGCAAATGCGATTCAATGTTGAAAAATGTAAGGTTATGCACATGAGTGTAAAGGACATGTCCGCAAACTACTACTTGGGGGGTGCTACATTAGGGAAGTCAGACATAGAAAAAGACCTGGGGGTGCTCATAGACCACAGATTTGGTAATGCCAAGCAGCAGCCAGCAAAGCTAGCAAGATATTGGCATGTCTTAAAAGAGGAATTGTAGCAAAGGATCAAAGAGTAATACTTCCACTTTATAAATCACTGGTTCGGCCTCATCTTGAGTATGCGGTACAGTTCTGGTCGCCAACTCTCAGGAGGGACGTCCTGGAACTAGGGAGAGTTCAGAGAAGGGCTACAAAATTAATTGAGGGGATTGAGGCCAGAGTTATGAAGAACGCATTCAAAATCTTAACTTATTCACCTTAGAAAGAGGTGATTAAGAGGGGAGCTTAGTGCAATCTTCAAATTCATCAATGGGGACCACAATATTAGGAATAAACTGTTTAATCCCAAAACTGTATTAAGAACCCGGGGACAGAAAAGGAGGTTAGAAGAAAGGGGTTTCAATCTTAGAATTCACAAGGGGTATTTCACTGTGAGAGTAGTAAACGTTTGGAATTCCCTATCACAGGCGGTGGTATTTCTAAGCGCTAGGAGAAAGGGAGAAAGAGACAGCAGCTAGGGACTAAATTCATTTTCTCAGATGTGGTAAATTTTGTTCGCTTATGCCTACAACACAGTCTACAAAGTGAGGCTCAGCATTCAGTAGCACAGCATTCTAGATGCAGTAGCCCAGCATTCTAGATTTAATTAATGAAGGCTGATACTGCATCCCAAAGTGCCAAGATCAGCTTGGTGCCTGAATGAATACTTTTAAAGTCACAACATCTATCAGGGGAAAGTGACTGAAACTATACAAGCCAGTATAAAAGAGTCACAAATGCTATTTATGAGAAAATCAGTAAGTCATTCAATCCATGGTGGTGCAGAAATAACGAAGCAGAAAAACTTCTATGAATGAATATGTTTTAATAAAATTAATTTTATTAAAAAGATGTTTGAAATCCATTGCAGAAGCCACCCTCCTGGAGTCAAATATTTTCCA